ACGTAAGAAAGACGCGCGAAGAATTCTTGTTACGAGATAGAGAGAAGCGAAGGTGTATCCTGGCTCGTGTCGCTTAAACTGGACGTTCCGGGGGACGCGTGCGAAGGATCGCCTACGATTCTTGCATCGTCCATTCAGTCTGCACTCGGTCGGGTAAGCGGTGGTAACAGGTTCACCGGTGGATTAGCATAATCGTCATAAAGCATGCAGCCTCGATGAATTATTTATCCGTCGGAAGAGTCGGTGCGCGTACGACGGAGATACGAAGGGAAAGAAGAAGAAGAAGAAGAAGGAAAAAAAAGTGTCGGGAAGGAAGGAACGCGTTAGAGGAGAAAGCATCGCGGAGGTTGCATCGGTAGTTCCTTGTTTGGTCGTTCTCGCGAGCGGTGAGATGCTGGTAGGAACGAGAAATGGAAAGCGACTGGATAGGACGGTGATACGACAGGAAAGAGGAAGAGAATGGAAGGAAGAAGAAGAAGAAGAAAACGAAGAAGAAAAATAAGGTGGGGGTTCTCCCATTCTCTTCCTCGTTTGGTCGAGAGGCGCGAGCCGGCCTCGACATTTGCATATTACGCCTGCCTTTAGGTAGCCAGTCCCGACGATGCGTTGCATTAATTCCCGATTCCGTGACAAGGGGGATGACCTTAACCCACCGTAGGACCGGACGCTTACCCGGGGTGTCGCGTAGCGTCGCCGCGTAGCGTCGTCTCGTCCGCGGTGTACGCGCGAACGGTTTCGCGAGTCGTATTCCCCGATCGGACGTCGCGCAAGGGTGTGTCGAAACAAGTAACGGTGAAACGACTTCGGAGAAAGTCCGTTGGAAATCGTTCCGTGGATCGGATCGCGGTAACGGTTTTCCGTGAGAGTCGTCGACCGATCGAACCCTTCGAACCACTCTGCATCCTACGAAAGATACGCGCGTCTCTCGATCCCCGTCGAATCGTCATCCCCTCCCGCGATACGCAAAACAGCGACGGGCCCGCAGAAGCGGAAGCGAGAAAGAGGAGAAAACGCGAGGCGACGGGGAGACACCGTGAGAATCTTTCTCGCAGTCTTCGCTGGTGGCAGGCCGCGTTGCTTTTATTATAAATCTCCGATGATCGGGATGGAGGAGGGGGTTTACGAGGTAGCTCGGCTGTTTGAATAGGAAGAGCCCAGGTAATATGCCCATTTGAATATACCTGGTTCGAGGCTGCTCGGAAGTCTAGCTCTTTCTCCGTTGCTCCGGAGACGCTGACAGTGGCAGTGGCCGGGTCGTTGCATAATTTAAAATTCAAGGGTGGCTCTGCCGGGAAAGAGAAACAGCTAGGAAGAAGGCAACAGGCCCGTGGAAAAAGGGGTGTAGGGGCGGAGAGGGTACGGGCCAGCGCGCAACCCTTCTTCTGCCCGATCTGGAACAATAAACGGCCGTGGAAAGGGTGACCCCGTGCTATCGGACGGATATATCCTTCGGCTCAGGTACAAGCGATTTTGCATAGATCTCCATACGTTACGTATCCCTTTTCTTTTCCTCTCTTCCGCCGTGCCAGCGTTTAAAGGTCCAGGTATACATCCGAACGGTGTCATCCCTATGGGAAAGTGTATGCAAACCATTGTGACCCCCGCGTCCGTTCACCGCTCCGAGCCAACGGAGAGGGGGTAGAAAGATCACACCCTTCGGATAGATGCTCGTCTCCGAACCATCCTCGTCGTACCCCGTGATCGTGCAAGAACCCTTTGCTTCCTACTTTTCCTTTAACACCCCCCTTTCTCGCTCTTCCTTTCCGCTCGCAAGGGAAACGAAATCGTGCATACGTAACGACGATTCGTGTATCTTCGATCGGATCGGCACCGATTCACGCGAAAACCTAACGCCAAAGGGAACGTTCTCTATTGTTACGTAAAAAAACGTAACCGCTGCGCCAAATTCTATACGGTTCTCGAACACTCTTCCAACGAATTCGAACACGATTAAAGTGCCCTGTAAAATAATACGTAATGGATCTTTTACGTTAGGAGTTGCGAGTTGTCGGTCCATCGGAATCGAATCGAGCAAAGTTTCGGACAGGTGCAACGACGGAACCGTACGGCCGACGTCCTTTGCACCTGATGAAATTAAAATAAACGCAGTCATCTCATTTTCATCCTCATTAGTATACGAGGAACAAGTGGGTTAACGGCTTCCTACGAGCAGGAGAGACTCGGGCCCAACTTCCCTCTCTTCGCCCTTCCTCTCTCTCTCTCTCTCTCTCTCTCTCTTCCTTTCACGACGACGCGGTCGTTCTCTTTCCTTCTCGCGCGGTTCATTCACGGCGTAAGGGAATCCCGCATAACATTAAAAGCTTTAAGGTCGTCCAGATTCGATCCACTGCTCTCGGTCGAAGTTTCGGTCGCGGCTGCTAGACCGCGTTTGTTCGGAGTGCGCGACACGCGTCCCTTCGCCTCGACTCGTAATAATAATCGACGGATCTGCTTTTGTTTCGAAGTCGACAAAAACGATCCTTCTCTCGTCGCGTAGTCTTCTCGGTCCTGCTCGAACCTCTGACCGTCGCGTGCCAACTAACCCACCTATGAACCGGCACTAGCCCGTGCCGGAATAAACCTATGCTAATGTATGCCGCGTTCCTACCTTCTCCAGTTTCTCTCGCTTTTCCCTCTCGTCCCTCTACCTCGAACTCCCGTTCGACGAATTTTTCCACAACTTTTCCTTTTCCAGCTGTTCTCGACGTTTCCAAGAAAATGATCTTTCGGCGAGCTCCGCCAAGTACGAAATAGCCAAGTACGCTTTTACGGTTTACGCGTTCGATCTCGGGGATGTTGGCGTTTCAGTTTCCGTTTCGGAATCGAGCCGTCGTCTTTGGATGTAGGTCACCGGTTGTCAGCATCTCCCCGCTCGGCCCCGCTCTCGTATTCTATTAAAACGATAGGAAAATGATAAAGCACCGGTGATTAATGGTGCCGCGTGGAAGGTGAAGGATTAATGGGAAGAGGGGAGAGAGGTACGATCGCGCGCTGCTACCAGATCGCCGGACGTATATAATGCTAATGCGAATTGACCGGTGAATACGAAAGCCCGTTACACGCTGTTGCTCGAACGGAGCTGGTAACTTCATTAACCGTGACAAAACGAGACGCGCGGTTTCATAGAAGAATGCGAGTTGACGTCTTACTGAGCTCGCGCGAGTAAGCGAGCGAGCGAAACCCGAGCCACGCGGCCATCCAGCGACGTAATGTATGCGCGCGTTTGTCGTTACGCTCGCTTAATAAATTTTGCCGGTCGCGATGCGATTTATATGTCTTCGAACGAAAATTAATTCGCGCTACCAACGCGATACGTCATTCCCGTGATTCGATTCGCCGCGCCGCTGCGAGCGCACCTTCTCGCCAATTAATTTCGCGTCCTTTTCCTTCTCTCCCCTTTCTGCTCTCTTACGCTCGGACATTATATGCTCCAGAAACTATCCGCGGAAATCGATAGATATCGACATAAATTAGTCCTTAAAAGCGAAAATAACGACCGCGCTCGATTTCCGTATCAACAACTCGAGATAAATCTACTTGCTCGTAAATTCACGGACTTATCGAAACTTTATTGAACCGATTAAAAACGCGCTAGGATCGTCCGATTCAATTTGTTTTCTTATTCTCGCGAAGATCGCGACAGAGAAGTTCGACGGATGGCAAATCGTAAGACGAACGGAGTCGATTCGCGTATAAAAGCTACGAAAACGCGACAACGCGTATGTCGAGGAACGTAAGTACCTGCACGAGTCGTTGAGACGAAAGTCGTAGAAGGTAAGGTAATAAGAAGCACGCGCAGAGTCGCGGGCCGTTATGTACGCGAAAAGCAGAAAAGTCGAGGACACGAGCGAGCGCACGTGCGCGTTCGTGGAAGACGATGCGGGTAGTGGGTGCGAGAACGAGCAGAAAGTTGGGCCAGCTCGTCGGTGTCGGTGTCGGTGTGGGTCAGAAGGCGATCGGTGTCTGTAGCCCGAGGCCCGAAACGCTCGAAACCCGCTTGTTCCAGGTTCCAGGGCCGAGCTAGCCCTCCCGCCTGCCGCTCCTTTCGAAATAACGGCTCCTCTCCGATCGCCGTAGTCTTTCAAATTTCTCTCCACCTTTTTTCTTATTCTCCTTCTGTACTGGCCTGCCCTTCCCGCTCCGATCAATATTTTTATCGAAACGCCTCGAAACCTTATACGCTATCCCGCTTCTACATTGTCGTCGACGTAATCAAGATTTTTCACCGAGTACAACAGCAGCTGTTCGAAGTATGAAATTCGTAAAATGTACTTACCTCGGTTCGCTGCAAAACAATCGATTTGTTTGCGAGAAATTCAATTCGTTTCCTGCGAGTACGAAAAAAGAAGAATCAAGTTCGCGGATCGTGGACCTTTAATATAGTTATTGAAACTCGAACTGGTTTCCGTTCTCTCGGTGTTTACGCCGTTCTCGCGGACATAATCGTTCGCACCGATTGCCGCTTAACGGACGAAATTAATTGAAACGTCCCGATTTTAATGGACGTATCTCGTTCCCGCGACAAAACATTCTCGTCTCGTCCGCTAACGAGCTTTCCGTTTTTCGACAGGTCAATTTCAACGTATAAAGCATAAAGGAAAAAGCGAAAGAAACGAAAGAAACGAAAGAAACGAAAGAAACGAAAGAAACGACGGTGTTATTTTAGCGGAATTTCTGTCGATCGGAAATTTGTTTACGAGCTCGATGCGACATCCTCGAGTTTCGACGACCTCGAAGCGTCGTCGCGCGAACTCGACTTTTCGAATCTCGAAGGTGGACTCGATTTTCACGCGGTGACGGACCAAGGCGCGACGTCCTTCTCCTGTTTGACGGGGCATGAAACGCTTTCGGATAACGAGACTGGGAAGGACAGGCTCCGGTGGACTTTTTTCGATCGATCGCCAGAGAGTTACCTCTTTCTGCGTCCACGATGAATCTATCTTCCACCGAACGTTAGGTTGCTGGATGCGTGTCTGAGCGTTCCGATCGAAACTCGAAGGTAACGTTACCAGTATATTTCAAAGAAAACTGTTTTACACACAGATGCTTTACAATATACGTGATGTTGAATTCCGTAGAATCTTATGGAAAACCTTAACCCTTTAAGCGGTATGGTTCATCGTTGAAAGTGCGGTGGTACAAATTTTTCACCGCTTCTATATTTATATTTATATTCATATTTATATTTATATTTATATTCATATTTATATTTATATTTATATATTTAGAGGTCGTAATCGGGTAGTTTATACAGCATAACCATAATGTAAAAACCATTTTGCTTAAGGAGAATGACAGGTACGTACTTTGGAAAAATCACGCGAGTCGAATATTCTAGTTTTGTCAGGTTGTACGCGTACGCCGTAACCGTGCAAGAGGTTAAAACTGATAGATCGATAAAGTGGCGGTATTATCCGAATCCGGTGATAAATTGAGCGAAAACACGCGTTTCGTTAAACGCTCGTGCAACGACGTAGCTATTAGATGTACCAATGAACAATCCTCTCTTTTTCTTCTCGTATTTCATATTTATTCGGGAAACTTATCGACGAAATAAATTTACCGACTCGTCTTCGAAGCGAGTGTCGGATAAGGTTTTTCGCTCGATTCTTTCAAGATCTTCTATCGGCTATAACCATGGAAACAATTGGTAGGTACGTTTGTTCGAAGCGCGGTAAAAGCGTGAAACGTTTTCGCAGTATCGTAGTACATATATTTCATTCGTTAATTCACGTAACACGAACATAATTGTACGTCTTGTATCGATTTCTATTCTATATTATAATTTTTCTATCTTATCGCAAAGATTTATGAGAAGAGGGACTGGTCCCTTCCTAGTTACGCCAATGAGCAAGAGTCATAGATTCCAGGAAATGCGTGTTCGTCAAAGTGTTAATGGTTCGAATCGTTTCGACTATGTATTCTACCGGTTACCGCGAACCTTCATCGTCGACTGCGAACGAAACTAACGACATAAAATTAAACCGACTTTATTAAGCTATTACGCAAGGTGTTATTCGCGACAATAAAGTTGTGTTCGTATTCGTGGTTAATTTTTCTATAAATAGTCGGTAAGGAACTAACGGCAGAATGTTTTCCGCTTAAACGAGCACTTTTAAACGAGCTACTCGGGAAAACTAGGGAATTACTCGTTGGTACACCCGATACTGGGACGAGCAAAGTGTCGCCGAAGCGACCGGTGGTTCGCGATTGCGCGAGATTTGCCGTAAAAATTATAGAAAATTAACACTCGAGAAACTAAACAAATTTGAGCGGCGCGCGTACGCTTTTCGCCGTGGCGGACGCGCGAGCAAATATTACGTCGATAAACATTCCCGCTTCTGAAAGGATCCGCTGTGTCTGGTCCGTGACGGCTTCGCTCTTCATCCTCGACCTCTCGCCTCCTTCTTATTCATATTTATATTTATATTTATATTCATATTTATATTTATATTTATATTCATATTTATATTTATATTTATATTCATATTTATATTTATATTTATATATTTAGAGGTCGTAATCGGGTAGTTTATACAGCATAACCATAATGTAAAAACCATTTTGCTTAAGGAGAATGACAGGTACGTACTTTGGAAAAATCACGCGAGTCGAATATTCTAGTTTTGTCAGGTTGTACGCGTACGCCGTAACCGTGCAAGAGGTTAAAACTGATAGATCGATAAAGTGGCGGTATTATCCGAATCCGGTGATAAATTGAGCGAAAACACGCGTTTCGTTAAACGCTCGTGCAACGACGTAGCTATTAGATGTACCAATGAACAATCCTCTCTTTTTCTTCTCGTATTTCATATTTATTCGGGAAACTTATCGACGAAATAAATTTACCGACTCGTCTTCGAAGCGAGTGTCGGATAAGGTTTTTCGCTCGATTCTTTCAAGATCTTCTATCGGCTATAACCATGGAAACAATTGGTAGGTACGTTTGTTCGAAGCGCGGTAAAAGCGTGAAACGTTTTCGCAGTATCGTAGTACATATATTTCATTCGTTAATTCACGTAACACGAACATAATTGTACGTCTTGTATCGATTTCTATTCTATATTATAATTTTTCTATCTTATCGCAAAGATTTATGAGAAGAGGGACTGGTCCCTTCCTAGTTACGCCAATGAGCAAGAGTCATAGATTCCAGGAAATGCGTGTTCGTCAAAGTGTTAATGGTTCGAATCGTTTCGACTATGTATTCTACCGGTTACCGCGAACCTTCATCGTCGACTGCGAACGAAACTAACGACATAAAATTAAACCGACTTTATTAAGCTATTACGCAAGGTGTTATTCGCGACAATAAAGTTGTGTTCGTATTCGTGGTTAATTTTTCTATAAATAGTCGGTAAGGAACTAACGGCAGAATGTTTTCCGCTTAAACGAGCACTTTTAAACGAGCTACTCGGGAAAACTAGGGAATTACTCGTTGGTACACCCGATACTGGGACGAGCAAAGTGTCGCCGAAGCGACCGGTGGTTCGCGATTGCGCGAGATTTGCCGTAAAAATTATAGAAAATTAACACTCGAGAAACTAAACAAATTTGAGCGGCGCGCGTACGCTTTTCGCCGTGGCGGACGCGCGAGCAAATATTACGTCGATAAACATTCCCGCTTCTGAAAGGATCCGCTGTGTCTGGTCCGTGACGGCTTCGCTCTTCATCCTCGACCTCTCGCCTCCTTCTTCGTCTCGTACGCCGCGCGAATTCGCGCCGTCCGTCGCTTAACCGAGGCTCGAGCGTGTACGGATCGTTCCAAAGTCCCAGCGCGCGGAACCCGTGCGTCCTGCGAACAGAAAATTACCGGTTTTACAACGTTATTCGTGCTCGAGCTTTCCGTGGTTCGCGAGGAGATTTAAAAGCCTGGTCGACTTTACGAGCCCGGGGACCGCTTCCGAACGCGCGCGTTGCGTAATCTCGCCGAGTAACACGTTGTAACGCGTGTACCGATAACGCGCGGAAGAACGCGGAGCGGTCGAAAAAGGTGAATCGCGAGGTGGAGGAGGAGAAGGAGGATCGCGGATGTTACAGAACCGGTGTTCGGGGTTACTTAGGAGGTTGCGAACAACGGAACGCGGCGCATAGACGACCACCGTGTCTCGCCGGATACCTGACGACGTGAGTCGGCCTCTAAAAATAGCCAGCCCGAGCTACCGCGAAAAATCACTGTTTTTATCATAATTACCGTCACTTAGTAGCCCTGTTCCTTTCGTCGCGCCTCACGAACTCCGTACGCGTCAAAGTTAACCCTCTTGCGGTCTTCCACTCTTTTTCCACTCGTTTCTTCCAAATCTTTGTTACCGAGTAAAATTTCGCAAATAAATAATTTCAACGAGATACTATGTTCGCCTATAACGTTTGAATCGTAAAGCACGATAGGATTAATTGGAGGAAAAAGTGTTTGCACGGCGAACAGTTACGTATCTACTATGAAAGTGTATTCGAGGAGATGTAGGTGTGACGACGCTTATTATGGAACGGAGCACTCGTTCACGATTGGATTTATCTTTCAATTATCTCCCGGTCCGGTAGTTTTCTTCGACGACAATAGAGAATCCGAAGCCCGAAGGCCTAAAAACGTTGGAACGCTTGTCGCGATCCACTTCTCTCGATCAGGATCTGTCCCGTAAATCGCCTTCCGAAATGCTCTCCACGGCCGCGATCTACAAGTAAGCAAGACTGTTGCTGCTAATTCGATAAACGTTTTCGAAGATTCGGGTATAGTACGCGTTATCGCGCGTCGAGGCATCGGAAAATTTTTCGGTGACGAGTTAAAGGCGTGCTCGGATCTTTGGAAAAACAAGAGAGAGACAAAGAGACGGCTTCGAACGGTCGGTGGGTACTCGAACCGACGTGTGTGGGCACGCGTGCTCGGATCGCAAAGGTCGAGCAATATAGGAGCATTCGGCCACCGCTTCTGCAGCTATCCGAGGCTGGATGCGAGCCTCCTCGCGGCCGGTTAGGCTCCCTCTCGTTCGTCGTGTTCGTGTTTCGTTCTTCGTCTCGATCCCTTCTTTACCCCCGGTGCACCGGTGCACCGGTGCTCCGGTGCTCGGCCCCGTGTCTCCGTTTCTTTCTCCGTCCGTCGTGCTGCTTGAAATAAGTCAAGCCGCTTTTATTCTCGGTCTCTCGGATATTCTTTATAGCATCGGTGGCGTTCGTCGGCCCTCCAGAGGTCCCGTACGTGTGCCGTACGTTATGAAACGCTGGACCAGCAGGCGTACCACGCAAACTACAAGAAGCGAGCCTCGTGTTCGGCCCTTTACTTATTGGACAGTTTACACGCCGTGCGGTTTCCTGGCCCCCGACTCGCTCCGGATTACACGCGAACGCGTCGTTGGACACCTGTCACGGTCTTTTCCACGGATAAGCCTACGTCCAACTTGATCGAGAATTTTCCGAAAACGCTCTCTTGGCCTTACCTAGATATCCTGCACGAGTAAAACAATTGCTCAACGATTACTTCGATGCGCGTTACTTTCTATCGCTCGTATGCCGAGATAAATCCCGGGCTAACAGGATCTATACTCCGCAGAAAAAAAAGTTGTCGGAAAAGTTGTGCTTCTCGACAGCATGCTTCGAGGATACGGGACAACGTTTCCGAGCGAGGCGATCGGTTCGGAAAACGGGCGCGTCGCGTCGGAATAAGAGGAAAGTAATAATCCCGTGTCTGGATGCTTTACGGATGAGTCCAGCATACCGGGCAAGCCCAAAACGAAAAACGCCTTCGTTTTTCGTGTTTCTGTTTCAGCGCGTCTCGACAGTCGGGTTATTTCGAAACGAGCAAGAAGGAATCGACCCTGGAGAAAGGGTGTTCGATCGAGCCCCTGAACGTATCGAATCCGTAGGTCGGCCGGGTCTCAGGTAAGAGGGGGAAACCGTGGCATATAAGTCTGGTGAAATAGCGGCTAATAATATGCGCGCGAAGTTTATGTCGCCGGTAGATTCATACGTCACGGCTTTATTGTGAGGCCTCGGCGAGGTCCGGGGGATCTTCGTGAGACGGCGTTTGCATAAAAATACGCCGGGTGATCGAGTACTTTAGAAAATTTAAGGGCTATAGATTACGGAGCTGCGAGAAGAAGCGAAGGAAACAATGCTATGTCACGAATGTGCCCGGGCGGCTGCGAGATTCGGCCAAGGACCGTTGCGAGATATTTTCCACTCGACGGCGATTTCCGCTCGACGACTTTATTTATCTGGATCGAGCGCAAACGACTCTAATATTCTCGCGCTGGTTATCGGGATGCCTTAATCTCGATACTTCCAATTATGTCCGGTTAAGAGATGTCCTCGATACCCTCGGGAGGAAAGTCAGGATAGGCTTCGAGAAACGTCGGTCGAGCAGTCGTAACGAAAGAAAGAAGACAGAAAGCGAAAAAGATAGAGAGAAAGAAAGAAGGAAAGAAAGAAAGAAAGAAAGAAAGAAAGAGGATGGCTGGTTCCATCCCGCGGCGAGAGATCCGGTCGGGCAGATGATTATCGGGCATATAGGAAATTGAAAGGGTGTCTAAGGAGGTGTCTAGCGAGCAGTTCGCGGGGGCGGTTTTCTCGGCAGGGTGGCACTCGACTTATGGGGTCTTAAGGGTATTCGGACACCCACACGGAAAGATGCTGCTGTCCGATAGCCGTTGCCCACCTCGGATAATAGGTTCTACGGGTTTTCGAGGCCCGCAGAAGCCACCTTCTTCGCTTCTTTTGCGTCGTCCCTCTTTCGACCGTCTAAAGGCACGTTTTCACGTAACGATAGATAACCTTCGCGTAAGAAAATCGGTCGCAATTTTTTTACGAAAGACTAGTCGAATCGTTAGAAGCGTTGTCGCGCGTCGAACGAATAGATAGTTGTACGCAATTTGCACCGCGTTTTAAAGGTTAACGCGTTCAAGCGGCAACGCGAAATTCGGTAGCGCAACGTCGCGACTAACCTCGGGGCGGTAAAAGTCGCGATCTACCGTTACGTGCGAACGTACCTTTAGTCCTTACGTCCTGTCCGTTCTCTATTCCCGTTCGGGCAAACCGATCCAGCTATCCTTCTCTCTCGCTCGAGCCGGGTCTCAGGTAAGAGGGGGAAACCGTGGCATATAAGTCTGGTGAAATAGCGGCTAATAATATGCGCGCGAAGTTTATGTCGCCGGTAGATTCATACGTCACGGCTTTATTGTGAGGCCTCGGCGAGGTCCGGGGGATCTTCGTGAGACGGCGTTTGCATAAAAATACGCCGGGTGATCGAGTACTTTAGAAAATTTAAGGGCTATAGATTACGGAGCTGCGAGAAGAAGCGAAGGAAACAATGCTATGTCACGAATGTGCCCGGGCGGCTGCGAGATTCGGCCAAGGACCGTTGCGAGATATTTTCCACTCGACGGCGATTTCCGCTCGACGACTTTATTTATCTGGATCGAGCGCAAACGACTCTAATATTCTCGCGCTGGTTATCGGGATGCCTTAATCTCGATACTTCCAATTATGTCCGGTTAAGAGATGTCCTCGATACCCTCGGGAGGAAAGTCAGGATAGGCTTCGAGAAACGTCGGTCGAGCAGTCGTAACGAAAGAAAGAAGACAGAAAGCGAAAAAGATAGAGAGAAAGAAAGAAGGAAAGAAAGAAAGAAAGAAAGAAAGAAAGAGGATGGCTGGTTCCATCCCGCGGCGAGAGATCCGGTCGGGCAGATGATTATCGGGCATATAGGAAATTGAAAGGGTGTCTAAGGAGGTGTCTAGCGAGCAGTTCGCGGGGGCGGTTTTCTCGGCAGGGTGGCACTCGACTTATGGGGTCTTAAGGGTATTCGGACACCCACACGGAAAGATGCTGCTGTCCGATAGCCGTTGCCCACCTCGGATAATAGGTTCTACGGGTTTTCGAGGCCCGCAGAAGCCACCTTCTTCGCTTCTTTTGCGTCGTCCCTCTTTCGACCGTCTAAAGGCACGTTTTCACGTAACGATAGATAACCTTCGCGTAAGAAAATCGGTCGCAATTTTTTTACGAAAGACTAGTCGAATCGTTAGAAGCGTTGTCGCGCGTCGAACGAATAGATAGTTGTACGCAATTTGCACCGCGTTTTAAAGGTTAACGCGTTCAAGCGGCAACGCGAAATTCGGTAGCGCAACGTCGCGACTAACCTCGGGGCGGTAAAAGTCGCGATCTACCGTTACGTGCGAACGTACCTTTAGTCCTTACGTCCTGTCCGTTCTCTATTCCCGTTCGGGCAAACCGATCCAGCTATCCTTCTCTCTCGCTCGATCTCGCGCGCGCACCGTCAGGTGCACACCTCTTCGCGTTCTCCGATCGCTATCTGCCAAATCACTATCAATCACTCCGTTGATCCAGACTCCGGACGCTCAATGAACCAACCTTTCGAACCGATCCCCGCTAAGCCTCCTTTCCTCTCGCGATAAATAAATCGGACTAGCGACTTTAACGAGCTGTACCTGCCTCTTTGTCCGTCGTTCCTTCGCTTTCTTTCGCGCGCTCCGCCTCGAGGACAGACCCGATTCGAGAGCGGAATGCCGCGTGCTTCGACGAAACGATTTCAGCTTCTTCCCTATCGGACGAATCGAGCGTCGTTCGATCAAAACGCTTTGTCGAAAACGATAACGATTTCTTTCCGCTAATCTGTTACGGCCCAAAACGACCGATTCAATAAGACCGATTAACGATCGAGCAGCGGACAAACAGCGAGAAAATTTCAGGCACGCGATAATAATCTAATAATAATATATTAGAAGAAATATCTAGGGTAAAGTAGCGGTTGAACGTGAGTTACTGTGAATAGGTTTGTTGGTTATT